CTCCATGGCAGGCTGCAAACTGGCAGTTTGGGAGACTAGCCCTAGTTTCTGTTTCCCAGAACTGGAAAAGTCCAGAAGAAGCCAACTCCAGGAAAAACCATCCCTCCACAGGCAGCCAGTCAGGAAGCTGCCCCACCACCTAGCTTGAGCCAAGTATAGTCAATCAGCAAACATCCCCCAAATCCCCCAGAGGCCTAACCAATCACAAAGGCACCTGCACCTGGAGAATGAGCTAACCAATCACAAAGGCACCTGCACCCCTGGAGAAAGAGCCAACCAATCAAGGGAAAGAAAGGTAGAAGTCACCACTCCTACCCTAACAGGCTTTAAACTGACCCTGCAGGGTCCACACCTGTCTTCCATCCTCGTGTATGGTGGACCCCTGCATGCAGGTTCTCTGCAGAGTGAGCACTCTTTACTGCTGCTTACTATTGGATACCAGGCATTCCACTGCAAATCCTGTGAGTGTGTATAACATTCCAGTATATGTATATGCATGAGTGTAGAGGCCAGCAGTCAAGTTTAGATAAACTGCCTTCCCAGTACTGGTATGAAACATGAGTGCCAGCTTTTCTGGCTTTTTCCCTGAGTGTTGGGGACTCAAACTCTGGTTCTCATGCTTGCATGGTGAACACTGTACTGACTGAGTCTTATCCCTAGTTCCTGAGGTTACTTTTGATTTACGTCAGAGACATTATAACTCCAAAAGAAAGCCTCAATGTTCGGTATTGGCGGTCCCCTTTGATCCCAGCACTTGGGAGGCAGAGGCAGGTGGATCTCTCAGTTTGAGGCCAGCCTGGTCTACAGAGTGAGTTCCAGGACAGCCAGGGCTATAAAAAGAAAACCTGTCTTGAAGAAAAAAAAAAAAAAAAGCGTTACCAAATGCAGACCCTATGCCTTGTGCTCCGGGTTTGTCACTAGAGGGAGCACCTGGTCCACTGACATATTGATAAATCACTGGAGCCCCTCCACTCATGATGACAAGGGCTTTCTGTCTATTTCCTACCCAGGGGTGCAGGCACAGGTGGAAAGACAGTAAGTGACTGCTTAGAGAGACTCAGGCTGCTATAGTGTAGAGAACCTTCTAGAATCCACGCACCAAACAAAAGGATATGCAGCCTCCCTGAGAAGACAGGAAATCGAAAACAACACAGTGTCCAGGATTGCTACACACTTTGAAGACTGCTAATATCCAGGCCCACTCCTGATACCAGCTGTTTCCTCTGCCATCAAAAGCCTTCCTATAGACTCTTATACCACTTCCTCCCTTGGATCTTTTAATTCTCAAATCAAATGGCATCTTTTTGTTGTTGTTTTGAGACAGGGTTTCTCTGTGTAGAGCTGGCTGTCCTGGAACTCACTCTGTAGACTAGGCTGGCCTCGAACTCACAGAGATCCAACTGCCTCTGCCTCCCAAGTGCTGGCATTAAAGGCTTGCACCACCACTATCTGGCAATGTCATCTTCTTTTTGAAAAAATTACTTTATGTGTATGTGCCTGCATAAATGTATGTATAGTAAGTGTGTGCTGGTACCTGAGGAGGCCAGAGAGGGCACTGGATCCCCTGGACCTGGAGTTACAGGCAGTTGTGGGCAGCCTGATGTGGGTGCTGAGAACTAAACCTGAGGCCTTTTCAAGAGCTCTCTCTCCAGTTCCAAATGTTGCCTTGTCGGTGAGATCTCCCCTATTTAAGACTACTACAGCACCCTGTCAGCATTCCCAAACCTCCAATTTTCACAGCAATTCATAACCTCTGCATTAGTTACTTTTCTCATTTACGTGAAAACATACCAGATGGAAGTGAGGTCATTATTTGTGTGTGTGTGTGTGTGTGTGTGTGTGTGTGTGTGTGTGTGTGTGTGATGAATGTTCATATGTTCGTGTCCCTGTGTTTGAACACAGGCTTATGTGTGCATGACCTGTACGTGGGTCAGCCCTCACCTACACCGTGTTTGCAACAGGGGCTCCTCTTTGCTGCTGTATACATCAGGCCAGCTGACCTACCAGCTTCTGGGTATCTCCTCTTTTAGCCTGGGGTTATAGATGCATGCTACTGTACCTGGCTTTTACATGGATTCATGGAATTTAAGATCAGTTTATTCTTGCAAGGCGAGTACTTTATCCCTGACCTTGTTTGGTTTGGCTTTTTTCAGACAGTCTCATGTAGCCCAGGCTGCTGGATTATAGGCAGACCATCTACCCACTGAGCCATACTGCTAGCCCTTCACTGGCAGAGTCTAGGCAGGTGCTCTACCACTGAGCCATACCCCAACCTGTATCTTTTCACTTTGATCCTCCGAACATGGAATTTTTAGTTTTGATGAAGTCAGATTTATTTGTTTTTCTTTTGCTGTTTTTGGCATTAGGTGTAAGAAACTTGCCTAACCTAAAGTCATGAATAGTTACCCCTATGTAATTTTGTTTTGTTTGCTTACTAGTAATGCTGGAGTCAAACAGGATTGGTTAGTTCTGTCAACTTGAGGCCTGTAGCTCATCTCCATACCAGGAGAAAACCTTAAGACAAAAATCTGTAAAATGAGGAGGCTGGACTGTGTCTACTCTAAAGGCAGTGGGACCTGGGAGAATGGAACCAATAAATCAGGCAGACTAAAGTTTCATACAATAGCCAAGTTTATTCAGAGCCTCAGACAATTTATACCAGTGGTTCTCAACCTTCCTAATGCTGCAACCCTTTAACACAGCTCCTCAGGTTGTGGTGACCCTCAGCCACAAAATTATTTTCCTTGGTACTTCATAACTATTGTTTTGTTATTGTTATGAATCATGATGTAAGTATCTGTGTTTTCCAACCCCTGTAAAAGGGTTGTTCAACCCCCAACTCAAAGGGGTCAAAACCCACATGTGGAGAAATGGTGACTTATATGCCCTGAGGGTTAAGAAAGGTCACAGGAGTAAAGGCCTTATGAGTTTGGACTGTATACAATCACAAGAACAAGCCACACAAAACAAGAACCTGTTTTCCATAGATGCATATAAAGTAGAATTTAAATATTTAATTGAATAACATCAGCAAGCAATAGGGATAATCTGAAGCAAATTCACTCCTAGCTGCTACATCTGGGAGGAATACTGGAATACAAAAACACATTCCAAGAACAATTCCATGTTTTGATGAAACAGAGATCACAAGACTCTTATATTTTCTTTGAGTATTCTCACAAGACTCGACCCTTGGTCCCTGTTCTGACAGAACAAGTAGCTTGGTGGTTAAGAGCACTTGCTGCTCTTACAGAGGACTTGAGTTCAGTTCCCAGTACCCACATGGTGGTTCAAACCATCAGTAACTCCAGTTCCAGAGAATCTGATGACTCTCTTCTAAACTCCCTGGGCACTAAGTATGCATTCTGTGTACATACAGGCAAAACACTTATACACTCATACTAAATAAATCAAAATAAAAAAGAATTGGTGAAAGAAAATGGGTTTCCTAAAATTTATGACCAGATTTTGTCAGGAAGGAGGGTTCTTAGTGTCTTTCTGCTTTCCCTCTAGCAAAGGTACAATTTTACAGAAAATATGAAACAAGACTCAGGAAACATGCTTATGCCGATTTAGCTGTGAGACAAGTTGTCAGAACTGTGAAATCTATTCCTGGGACATGAGGTCCTACTCCTCTGGGGTCAAAGCTTCAGTCTGTTCTTTCTCCAGCATGGGATTCCTAGAGATAGTTTAATTCTCTCTAGATCTCGCCATTCTGTCACAATTGGATTAACACTTCATGGTTAGTTAGAGCCTCTGGGAGTATATGTAATGACAGGTCCAGGAGGTTAATTAAGGGTGAGGGAGGGAAGAGATGCCCTAAATGTAGGCAGCACTATCCCATAGGCTAGAGGATGAATATAAAAGGAATGAGGCCAGGGTGTGGTGGCATACACTTTTAATCTCAGGAAGTAAAGGCAGGTAATCTCTGTGAGTTCAGGCCAGCCTGGTATATTTATTGCTTGAGTTTCAGGAAGGACAACTAGGCCTGCACTGAAAGACCCTGTCTTGAAAAGCCAAAAAAAAACAAAAGAACAACCTCCTCACCCCCGGGGGGAGGGGGGGAAGAGTTCCAGGCCAGTTATGGCTACAAAATGAAATTCTGTCTCTCAAAAACTTAACACAAGTGTATGGGATCTATTGGTCTGTCACAAAGCCCTCAATAAGAACGTGGGACTTCCCTGACTTCTTTCTCTGGCATCCCTAAGGATCCCAGAGTTTACTAACACTAAAGAAACTTAAAGGTGGCAAAGGTCACAAATCATACGCTAGAGGACCAGAAGTCCAGGCCCTCAGAGTCATCCAACCTGACATAGAGGGCTTCCTACCACCTAACAGGAGCACAGAACAAAATGGCGCCACATAGACAAATACACACGGACTTCCGCCCTTCCAAGGCGAGGTCGCCAACATCCCAGCGTTACATTTGCGTATACAAAAGAAATTGAGACATTTCATTGGTCAGGGGTGGAGTCTATCACAGAACTGGCTTCCCATTAGTAGCCCTCCACTTCTACCCGCCCCACAATTCGCGACCGCCCCTCTTTATTGGTCAAGGCCCCTTCCGTCACTCCATTAACCCCTCCAGTCCCGCCTTCCCTCGCTCCGCCCCTTCCCTTGGCTAACCGTTAGTCGCGTGCGCGTCTTTCTCCCGGCCGGAGCGCGCGCGCGCACCCACAGTCATGGCGGCGTCTCATTCAAACGGTCCAATCAGCAGCCGCGTCGCCTCCGCGGGTTCCCCCTTTCTCTCTGCTCTGGGTTTTTAGCCACTTGGTTCTCCCAGGTCTACTCCTCAGCCGGCATGAGCCCTCATTGCATAGCTCTCCTCACGAACTGGGTTCGAACTTCAGCCCGTACTCCGAGAAGAGCCGGGGAAAGCGCGTTGACCGCCAATCAACGTGCGCGTTGACGTACGCGGTGGAGACGTGCCGTGAGGGGCGGGGCCTGCGAGTTACTATAAAAGTGCGGTGTTGAGCGCGCGGCCGGCTTAGTACGGACGGGCCGACGTAACGTTGCAAGCGTTTTGTAGCGGGCGGCGGAGTTAGTGAGGAGCGGAGCGGGGCCTCGGGGGCCTCGCTAGGGCCAAAGCGGCCGGCAGTTGGGCCCCCCGCCCCGGCCGGCGGTCCGAGGAGTGCAGGAAGGGGGCCGGGGGGACCCGCCCCCGGCCGGCTGAAGTCATGGTGAGTGACGCGGGAGGCCTGAGGGGCGGTTGGGGACTCTGGCAGAGGAGGCGACTGCGGCGTCCCAAGTGTTTTCTGGCCAGCTTCCGAGTGCTTTGGTGGCACGGCTGGACGTCTGGGGCCATGAGTCGGCCCCAGGGCCTTTCTACAGACGGTGCAGGAGGCCAGGCGGCCCTCGGAACCTTGGGGAGGGCTTTGGGCGCCTTGTGGCCCGCCCATGGGTGTTTTCAGGAGCAAGACATCCCGCCGCCATTTCGTCCAGGCTTTTTCTTTATTGATTTTTGGCTGGGGGGGAGGGTGTTTCAATGCTAAGTAGGGGAAGGGCTCCGGCTAGGCCTCAGGCCCACCTGGAATCAGTAGTGGACCCATGCGCGGTTTTGGGAGGTTCGGGTACGACGAGCCACATACTATCTTCTCAGACACCGTCATGTTTGTTTGGGCCGGTCAGCCTTGAGGCAACGGCCTGAAGCATCCTAGGTCTAGTTGCTTGGCAGTGATTGACGACCTCGAACCTCTAAAGTCTGGGTTCTGTATCCATCATCCTTAATCCCAGCTATTTAGGACTGCTCACTCTCCTTTTCCCTCCGTGCCTAGAACTCCAATGTAGAGAATTTGCCTCCCCACATCATCCGCCTAGTCTACAAGGAGGTGACAACACTGACAGCAGACCCACCTGATGGCATTAAAGTCTTTCCCAATGAGGAGGATCTCACGGACCTGCAGGTTACCATCGAGGGCCCTGGTGAGTGTGGGCACGGAAGGGAGGAGCCACTAGATTTCTAGATTTCTAGACTAGATTTCTTCTGTCGTGTGTCTGTGGAACAAACAGGATTCAACCTCTCAGGTGCTGGTGACAAAGTGTGGGCTTTTGCTTAGGCTTGGGTTAAGACTGTCAAGTGTGACTTTCCAGAGACCTGAGGATAATCTGAAACACTAATCAGTCAACTGTCAAGTGTCAGAGTAAACAAGACTAAATGAGAAAGCATTATGAGGGAAACAGTGGTAATAAGTTGATTTGTATGTATTAAGTAAGCCACTTAGATTTTTCAGACCTCATTTGTCAACTGAATTTCTACAAAGTCAGCTAAAATCAGTTTCAAAATCAAGTGACTGGTCTATAATGCTGGGGGTGTAGAAGATGTCTACCTGGTCTACTGTTAGCTAGTGTAGCAACTGCCCACTGGTAGATCATCTGTGATTACCACTTTTGACCCAAGCAAGTAGGTAAGTGAAAACACGCCTCTCATGAGGATGGGGAAAGGCTTGGGAAATGGTTTGCAGGAAAAGTTGGTGGGTTGGGTCCCTTTGTCCTATAGAGTGGCAAAACAGATAACAGGAATTGGGTGTGTGGACTATAGGATAAGGCATATAATATAGTATAGAGAGATGTTGCTTATAGTACCTAGGAAACTGTTCCTTGTTCCCCTAAATTTCCTCAGCCTGGTGGGGGGATTGACAGACTATCTGCCTCAACCAGACCCAAGGAAACTGGTCTTTGCAATGTTGAAGGATGTTAGGATATAGTAAAGCAACCCCTTTTCCTCTTCTCCAGAAGGGACTCCTTATGCTGGAGGTCTGTTCCGGATGAAGCTCCTACTGGGGAAGGACTTCCCTGCATCCCCGCCCAAGGGCTACTTCCTGACTAAAATCTTCCACCCAAATGTGGGCCCTAATGGCGAGATCTGTGTCAACGTGCTCAAGAGGGATTGGACGGCTGAGTTGGGCATACGGCATGTGCTGCTGGTGAGTTTCAGCTACGGTACTTTGTCTAGTTTTTACAAATCAGCTGTGGAATAGTAGGGGGCAGAGTCAAATAGAAATAAGTTTTCAGCTTTTCTGGAAAATAATGGAAGGGTTGCCTGTTCTGCAGTATCAAGGAAGAGACCTTGACATTCAACAACTGTGAGCTTAGTTTGTATGATAGGATGGTTTTGTAGAAGGTAGAGAGCGATGTGTGGTTTAGAGACTCTTATTTACATACCATACATAAGTTTCCATTTAAAAGTGAGTTTTAGAAGCCCAAACTTGCATTGATATTTTATCCAGCCACGGCTATTATATTTTTTGACCCAAGCAAGTGGGTTAATGAGAAAAAACTCCCAAAAGCTAGGTTTACAAGACTGTGTCACCCTACTCAGCTGAGTAGGTTTTCTTGTAGTAGTTTTTTGTTTTGTTGATTGTTGCACTGTGATAATGTAACCATCACCACCATTTTTAATTCAAAATTGTCTTTCTATACTAGTGTTTTTTTAACCTGGGGAGTAATCACACTGCCTGGGTCATTTTGTGGGACACTATTCGGCATCTTCTATGTACAGGACTGTATCATAGTTTTCCCTAGTCAGTTGAAGTGGCAGTAACTGATCTAGGCCAGTGCTCCAAGGTCTCTAAAGGCCACTTAAAGTAAGGTCACCTGGTGCCTCCTGTGCAGCTCCCATAGGGTTTTTTTTTTTTTTTAAATTCTTAATGAGCCTCTAGGGCTGATGGTTGTGAAGATAGAGAATTGGGGTTTCCTTCAAGGCATTTGGGAAGAATTAAGCTCCAAGGTAAACAACCTCAAAAATCTTTCCTGTTTGCCTTCCACCCTGGATGTTGGTTGAACTTGGTTCTATCCAAAGTACTGGGAATGCTAGATGGCTATTGGCTCTGCTTTGGGGCCTGTTACAAATATAAGTTTTCCAATGCTAAGTGCCCTTGAGTAATTTCCCACCTGATTAGGAAGGACTGCTGAACTTATGTTCACCTGTAGAAATAAGGTCAAATCCACATTAGCTACAGAAAACTGGCTGGAGCAGATAATGAGCTTCTTTAGGGAAGGGCCTCTGGCAACGTCAGACTGCACTTACATGGCATTGGTCCCTTGAAGTACTTGTAGTAACAGGAAAGCAGCCTTTGAGGGTGACTTAAATGAATAAGGATGCTAGCAGACTGGTCCTGATCTGAGGGAGCTGATTTAGAGATGAAAAGAAGAGCCAGTGTGGTGACCATGAAGCTAGACAAGCCTTCCTGACCGTAGACCCTTTCTTCACAGACCATCAAGTGCCTGCTGATCCACCCTAACCCAGAGTCTGCACTCAATGAGGAGGCAGGCCGCTTGCTTTTGGAGAACTATGAAGAGTATGCTGCCCGGGCCCGTCTGCTCACAGAAATTCATGGGGGTGCATGTAGCACCAGCAGCGGGAGGGCTGAGGCTACCCGGGACCTGGGCAGTGGGGCTTCAGCCTCCTCCACTGACCCTATGACCCCAGGGGTTCTAGGAGGAGCTGAGGGTCCCATGGCCAAGAAACATGCAGGTGAGCGAGATAAGAAGCTGGCAGCCAAGAAAAAGTTGGACAAGAAGCGAGCGCTGAGACGACTGTAGTGGGGCTCTTCTCTCTCCATTCCTCCCTTCTTTTCTGTCCCCTCCCACTCTGTCTCTAAGTTATTTAAATTATGGCTGGGGTGGGGGAGGGAGTTGGGGGGGCACCAGAACCTGGATTTGGTTTTCTAAATAAAAAGTTGGAAAAGCAGTTTCTATGCCTGAAGCGTCTAGAACCTCTGTCTGTATTGTGGCTTAGAGCAGCTGGCATTGTTCTGTCCCCAGTCCACTTGCTCCAGTTAGAATTTGTGGAGTGGGGCTTAGAATCTAAGCTGGAGCAGGAACCCACAATCTATTCCCTCTAGACCAGTGGTTCTAACTGTAATTTTGTTGCTATGATGTAAAAAATATTTTTGAAGACAAGTTTGCCTAGCGATCAAAGACCCATAGGTTTGAGAACTGCTCTAAACAGTCTTAATCTGGTCCTGAATTGGGGCAAAGTTATATATTTTCTATGTAACATCTCATCCCAGTTCTAGCTTTAAATGTCTTGTGTCCTACCCCCCCCCACCCCGCCCCCGGGTTATATTAGCCTGCACCTTGTGGATTGTTCTGTTTTAAACTGTAAAAGCCAAAACATGCCTTGAAAGAAGACATGCTCGAGTTTTGTCTCCTTAGGGTTTTACAGGTCAAAATGAAGTGTCTGCTGGCCTTCTTGGGAGGGAGATTAGCTCATTGCAATATTGTTTGTTTTTTGTTTGTTTGTTTTGTTTTTTCTAGATAGGGTTTCTCTGTGTAGTCCTGGAACTCACTCTGTAGACCAGGCTGGCCTCAAACTCAGAAATCTACCTGCCTCTGCCTCCCAAGTGCTGGGATTAAAGGCGTGCACCACCACTGCCCAGGGCAATACTGTTTTTTTGTTTGTTTTTGTTTTGGTCTTATTGTGTAGTTATGGCTGGCCTAGAACTTGAGTATATAGGTCAAGTTGGCCTTGACCTCAGAGACCTACCTGACTCTGCCTCTGGTTGCTGAGACTAAAGGCATACTCTACTATGCCCATTTAAATTCAGTTCTTGTAGCACTAGGACTCTTCTAGGAGCTACCCTACCTACCACATTAGCCTATCAGGACTGAATAAGGCTTTTACTCTAGTTAGGTCAAAACTTCAGATACTGAGAGGCTGGGGAGATGGCTCAGAAAGAGTTACTGTTGGCTCTGGCAAAGGACCTGGGTTTGATTGTCAGCACCCATTAACAGTTTACAACTAAGTTTCAGGAACTCCAGTTACCTCTTCTGACCTTCATCAGTACTAGGCACATGGATTGTGAACAGGACATACAATCAAGCAAAACATGTGAACATTTAAAACAAGCAAAACCCCTCCAGATACTTAATTTGAAATCCAGAGCCACTAATGGGAGTGATAACCTGTCAGTTTTGAGTTCTGTTGTAACCTAAGTGGAAGAGATTCTGAGTCTGTGCACTAGAGGGCAGTATATGCTTTCTGTTAATATCCTTAGGTAATTTGAACTAGTTTTGTCGTTAAGGGTGTGTGTGCGCGAGTGTGAATAGCTCAAGTGTTGAGTATATGGGGCTCTTTTCAGTGGTATTCAGTTCCTGGCACAACTGCCTAAAACTCCAGCTCTAGAGGATTTAACACACACAAAAAGCTTCAAAAAGGGAAGGATGCATTTTATGTAAGTAAAACAAAACCAAGAGCTTTGGCCATCAGAATTAAGAAGTGTGGTAACAAATCTAAAGTACTGCAGTGGAAACTTCTAGTTTCTTTGGAAAGTTATATGAGGTAATACTTTGCTGGGGCAGCTAGGTGAAAGGATGTTTTGGTATAGCAAGCACATAAAGGATCTGTCATGGAATATTAAAACATGACCCCACAGACAGTACTGAGCCTTGGTTTGGTTTGCTCTGCCTCTCTATTCTTCAGTAAGGACATGCACATATTGGTTCTCCATGGCATGTTGATCTCCACTAGTGGTGACACCATAGAGAATCGCACCCAAGAACTGCTTGCAGCTTCTGAGGCCTTGCCTCAGGCCAGTTGGCAAACCTTGTGGCTTCTTCAGGATTGAACCTATAGCTTCTGGTTCATGCCTGGTGTCTACCTGCTGAAAGGACTGACCCATAGCTGCAGGTTCATGTATGATAGCAGCTGGCCTAGAGGACTGGTTTGAAGATGCTGAGTAGTAATTGGTGTTTGCTACAGGACTGATCAAGCTCGGTCCCCAAAAAACTATTGCTGAACGCATCCACTTCCCTTCCCCCATACCCTAATAACTTTTCTCTTCCACTACCTCTGCTGGTGGTGGGCTAGAGAACAGGTTGAACTCTTATTAAAAGTAGGCTGCAAAAAATGTATGCCTACAAAGGACTGTAATATTTTCAGGGGCTGGAGAGATGGCTCAGGGACAGTGTACTCACATAAAATTAAAAAAAAACTCTTTAAAAAAATATTTTCTGACCAAATTAATAGAACTGACCCAAGAAATCTCAAGGACAAGTTTAGTGTAAAGTGTCCATAAGAGAAGCAGGCATTCTGAAAGAATACATTCAACTTAATGGAAAAAACTGTTGCTGTGATTAAAATATACCTTTTCCAAACCCCTTGGGATTTCAGGCACCTCATTTTGTGGTGTGAGATCCTTCTTATAGGACTTCACAATGTACCCTGGATGGCCTCAACCTTGGTAAGTCTCCTGTCGTAGCTCTAATATTGGGATTATATGCATGTGCCACCATGTCCTGCTGGTTCTGGGTGGGCTTCTTGGGCATCTGATTTTTTGAGACAAAGTCTCACTGCCGTCCTGGATGGCCTGCAACTTGCTGTGTAGATCAAGATAGCCTCAAATTCAAAGATCTACTTGCCTTTGCCCAGCTTGGTTGTGTTTTATATCTAAAAAGCCAGTAATAATTTTCTTTACTGAGTTTTATAAGTTAGAACAGCAAATCACTGAGTATCAGGATTGCTTTCTGAAGTCAGATGGTCTTGTGCAAAATCAGCTCTTGACCTGGGTACTACTAGAATTGAATTGTAAGATAACCAAGTGGGCTGGACAGATAGCTCAGTGGTTAAGAGCACTGACTGCTCTTCCAGAGGTCCTGAGTTCAATTCCCAGCACCCACATGGTGGCTCACAACCACTGTAGTGGTCTGTAGTGGAATCCAATGCCCTTTTCTGGTGTGTCTGATAAGAACAACAGTGTACTCATATAAATAAAAAAAAAAAGATAACCAAGTGGTGGGGAAAATCAGAGGATTAGGTAAGACCCAGGTTCAAATGCCAGCATGCACATGGGTTCAAAACTAATTCCAGTTCCAGGGGATCGGACACCCTCAGACATACATGGAGATATCACCAATGCAAATACAATTTAAAAGAAAAAAATTGGATGTAGCACAGTGGTAGAATGCTTGATTAACATGTATGAGGCCTTGTGTTCAATCCTCAGTACTGGGGTGGGAGGAGACAGGTAGTAATACAACTGCATGTTGTAAAATTGCATCATGTATAAGAAATTGAACTGAAGGGGCTGGAGAGATGGCTTAGCACTTAAGAGCAATGGCTGCTCTTCCAGAGGTCCTGAGTTTAACTCCCAGCAACCACATGGTGGCTCACAAACATCTGTAATAAGATCCTGTACCCTCTTCTGATGTGTCTGAAGTCCGTGTATTCAAATGTATAAAAATAAATAAATCTTAAAAAAAAAAAAGAAATTGAACTGAAATTGACCTAAAGACAAGATCCCTATAACCCATAGTGGCTTTAAGCTTGCTATGTAGGCAAGGGTGGCTTCGAACTTTTGATAGTGCTCCCTTCCTCCATCTTCTCAGTGCTGGAATGAAGTCTGAGCGTGCCACTGTACCCAGTTCATGGTTGTTGGAAAACTTGACATACATGCTAGGCACTCTACCATCTTAGCTTCATCTCTAGCCCAAACTTACTCAACGTAAACTCTGAATATCAAGGACCAGACTGGAGTTGTTCCTACGGTAGTAACACAGGCTTGTGTAGGGGGTAGGTTGAGTTTGAGGACTGCCTGGGCTACAGAATGAGTTCTAGGCCTAGGCCAGCTTGGGTTTCTTAATGACAGAGAACAGAGGGGAGGGAAGGGGAGGGGAGGGGAGGGGCAGAGCGGAGGGCAGAAAAAGATAGGAGCTGCTACAACACTCAGGTACATTAGGACAGCACAGGGAAGCCTGGGTTCAATCCCGAGTACTGGAAAAACCCCTATTGGGCTGACTAGGTAACTTAGTGGGTCAAAACAAATTGTAGCCAGTCTGGACAACCTTGAGTTTGAACCAGTTCAATTCCAGAACCCACAAGTCGGAAGGAGAGAATTAACTCCTACGGGTTGTTCTTCTGACTTCCACACACAAACAAGTAAATGTAATTTAAGGGCCGCCAGGCAGTGGTGGCGCATGCCTTTAATCTCAGCACTTGGGAGGCAGAGGCAGGTGGATTTCTGAGTTCAAGGCCAGCCTGGTCTACAGAGTGAGTTCCAGGACAGCCAGGACTACACAGAGAAACCCTGTCTCGAAAAACAAAACAAAATAGTTAAGGGCCAGGCATGGTGGCACATACCTTTAATCTCAGGACTCTGTTGGCAGAGGCAGAGGCCTCTGAGTTCCGGGACAGCCAGAGAGCATATCAGAAAGAGGCCTCTAAACTACTTAGGCTACATAACCAACAGCCTTAGAGTCCCATCTACTGATGCTACTTTTAAAAAATGATTTAGTATTGATCATATATGTATGTTTTTATTTTAAAATTTTTGGGTGGCGGTGTGGGGGCAAGCATAATGATACTTATCTTTAATCCCAGCACTTAGAAGAGGCAGGCAGGTGTCTAAGTCTGAGGCCAGCTTGGTCTACACAGTGAGTTCCAGGACAGCCAGAGCTACATAGTAAGACTCTGTCTCAAAAAAAAATTATTCTTTTAGATTTTACTTTTATGGTGTGGGTTTGCTGCCAGAAGGTGCCAGTGCAGGACATTGAATCCCCTGAGTCTAACAGTTGTGAGATGTCATGTAGGTACTCAGAATTTAGCCCAGGCCCTCTGGAAACACAGCTGGAGCTCTTAACCACTAAGCCATCTCTACAGCTCCAGATTGAATTTTTATTTTATGTATGTGAATATTGTGCCTGCATTTGTGTTTGTATATGCCCAAACAGGTCAGCAGAGGCTGTCAGACC